CTAAGTTTTTTAAGGAAAAAAGGATTAATCTCTGTATTATATCTCGATGATTTTTTATTACTGGGTAACACATTTTCAGATTGTGAAGTTAACGTTCAGGAAACAGTTAGACTATTAGAAAATTTGGGATTTATTATAAACTTTTCTAAGAGTTCCCCTAGTCCTCAGCAGACTTGCACCTTTTTGGGGTTTACTTATAACTCGATAAATATGAAAATTTGCTTACCCGAACTTAAAAAACAAAAAATCATCAAACTTGCTACGAAATTTTTTAAATGTGAAAAATGCAGAATCAGAGAATTTGCTCAATTTATTGGTGTTTTGACGTCGGCTTGCCCAGCAGTAAAGTATGGATGGTTATACACAAAAAATTTTGAAAGAGTTAAAGCAATCGCTCTCAAAACATCGCGAGGAGACTTCGATTCTTTCATGGATATTCCCTCTGAAGTATCGGAAGACTTTCTTTGGTGGATTAAAAACTCTATGAAATCCTTTAATAATTTACCCTCGAAAGACTTTAAATTAAGCATATTCTCCGACGCATCGACATCTGGATGGGGAAGTTATTGTGAGGAAAAGAGGGCTCACGGTTTCTGGAACAGGGACGAATTGCGGGAGCACATAAACTATCTCGAACTCCTCGCTGCCTTCTTCGCTATAAGATGCTTTGCCAGTAATCTTTCCCACAGCAATATCCTATGCCGGATAGATAACGCTACAGCGATCGCCTGTATCAATCGAATGGGATCCGTTCGATATCCTAAGCTTAACTCCCTGGCGAGAAAATTTTGGCAATGGTGCGAAAAAAGAAAAATTTTGGTATACGCCTCGTATATTAAATCTCAAGATAATGTAGAGGCAGACGAGGAATCTAGGCAGTTAGAAATTGAAACCGAATGGGAGTTAAATAATAAGGCCTTTCGAGAAGTAACGCTTCAATTTAACAGCCCCGAAATTGACTTATTTGCCTCGAGAGTAAATAAAAAATGTAAACGCTTCATTTCTTGGCAGAGAGACCCAGATAGCTATGCGGTAGATGCATTTACGATTAACTGGTCGACTTTCTATTTTTATGCATTTCCGCCCTTTTCGATCATATTGCAGTGTTTGCATAAGATCATAGAGGATAAAGCCGAGGGCATTTTTGTCGTTCCCTACTGGACCTCTCAGCCATGGTTTCCAGTTTTTAGCTCGTTGCTTGTTAGTAGATTAATTTATTTTACCCCGAGTGAAGATTTACTTCTTTCTTTTGATAGGACTCCTCATCCATTATGGGAGAGGATTACGCTGGTAGCAGGAGTCTTATCCGGCGAGCGTTGCAGATAGGCGGGGTACCTGATGCATCGCTGGATATTTGTATGGCTTCCATTACCAGTGGTACTATTAGACAATACAATTCCGGTTTAAAATTTTGGTGGGAGTTTTGTAAGCGAGAAAATAAGAACATTTTTTCAGTTTCTGTACCGGATGTTCTAAAATTTCTTACATTGTATTATAATAAAGGTGCTTCTTACGGCACTTTAAATTCATATAGATGTGCGATAGCTCAAATAGCAGGGTTGGATTTTGCGAACGATTTCAGGCTAAAAAGATTCTTTAAGGGTGTTTTCAATTTGCGACCCAACGAGCCCAAATATAGCACGACTTGGGACCCTTCTATTGTCCTTAACTATATTAAAACGTTTCCTAAAAATATTTCCTTGCAGAATTTGACTTACAAATTAGCAGCGCTGTTAGCGCTTAGTACTGGACAAAGGGTACAGACTTTGGCTAGTATTGAAATTGGGAATATAGTAATAGCGAATGATGGCATCAGTATAAAAATTCCTAAGCGACTCAAAACGTCTGGTTTAAATAGAAAACAGCCAACTCTAGTTTTACCCTTTTTCAAGACGGATCCATCAGTATGTGTAGCTAAGTGCTTAATTCAATATTTAAAGGAAACTCGAAAGTTAAGAGACCCCCATTGTAATTCATTGTTTATTACTTTTAAAAGGCCGTTCAGAAATGCAAAACCCAACTCGATCAGTAGATGGATAAGAGAAGTTCTCAAAAATAGTGGCCTCGATACATCCATATTTACTGCCCATAGTACACGACATGCGGCCACTTCTGCCGCGGCTCGTAAGGGAGTAAGTATGGATGTAATCAGGCTGGCAGCAGGTTGGACTGAGAAATCAAAGACTTTTGCTAATTTTTATCAACGCCCTTTGATAAGAAAGTCCAGTTTTGCCGAAGCTGTTTTGGGTTCTTGATAGTTACTAGGAGTTGTATAATTTGAATATTGTATTAACTTTTTCTTGTTAATGTTTTATGTAATGTTCAATAGTTTGGAAAATAGACCTCATTTATAATTGTTGCAATTTTCTTTAAACATCTACATTATTCTTAATTACGAGACGAGGCGTAATATAATTAACAGATCAAACGAACTTACCTATAGTGAAGTTCGATCTGAATTATATGAAGCCTCGTCGAAGGAATTAAGTCCCTCCCGACCCATAATTAATTATTATAACCCAAGGCATACAATTATAAATATCGGGTTTGCTTTAAAAAAAAATGAAATGAAATTGTCACTGGTGACTGGTCAAGCACCGGGACAGGTAAGCAGGGATTTTAAAAATCGATATCTTTAAAAAGCGTGTGATTTGACGTGAAGTGGAAGGTACTACATTATTCTTAATTACTTCGACGAGGCTTCATATAATTCAGATCGAACTTCACTATAGGTAAGTTCGTTTGATCTGTTAATTATGCACTTGATTTTCTATGAGAAAACTTTTTGAATCTGAAGATTCTAAATTTTGTTCTTTTACGAAAAAAACTTTAGATCAGGGTTGTCCTGGAAGTTGAAACTTCATCTGAAACAGAGCTATTGCTAATATTTGAGAAAAAATTTGAACATTGAAGGTGCATAACTTAGAAACGGTTCGAGTTTGGAAATTCTGGATCCAGGCATTCCAGAGTTAGGCCCCATTAACTCGGCCATAACTCTGGAAAGCCTGGACCGTTTCCAATGAATCATGACTTATTCGATAGAAGATTGAATTGCTTAAGAAGAGATTTTATTAAAAATTTCGATAGTTGCCTCGTTTAGCCTTATCAGTTGAAACTCTCTAGGAAATCTGTTTCTATGATATGTTTTCACATTTTAATTATTCACTCAGAAACTCTTTGAGCCACGAATATAAAATTTTTGGAGGTCCCAAAGAACCATAAGTATAGACACAAAATCTCAACAAAAAAATCTTTGAAATTTTGAAATTTTATCGTAGGTACTTCCTACGTACTGAGCTACCTTATGATTTAGATTTTGGAGAACTTTGGAAGGTCATAACTTTTTTTCTATTAAAGATATAAAGCTGAAATTTTCATCAATTCTTATTCCAGTAAAGGAATAGAATCCTTAAAAATTTCAAGTCATATGGATTTATAGTTCCTGAGATAAAATCGTGTTAAGCAAGATTTTGGAAAACTTTGGAAGGTCATAACTTTTTTTCTAATAAAGATATAAAGCTGAAATTTTCAGCGATTCTTATTCCAGTAGAGGACTATAATCCCTGAAAATTTCAACTCATTTGGACTTATAGTTCCTGGGATAAATTCGTGTTAAGTGATTTGGGGTGGTTTATCAATTTTTCCATTTTTCTGAGCGCCTTTTTTCATAGAATCTGGCTTCAAATCTGAGAATAATTTAGTGTATGGAATTTGGGGGATCCCAAATGATCGTTAGGACACAAAATCTCAACCAGAAAAAAAATTTGAAATTTCATCCATTTAGTAACCTTGTGATTTCGATTTTGGAAAACTTTGGAAGGTCATAATTTTTTTTTCTATTAAAGATATAAAGCTGAAATTTTCAGCGTTTCTTATTCCAGTAGAGGACTAAAATCCCTGAAAATTGTAACTCATTTGGACTTATAGTTCCTGAGATAACATCGTGCTAAGCAACTTGGGGTGATTTATCAATTTTTCAATTTTTCTGAGTCCTTTTTTCATAGATTTCAAATTTTAAAAGAGGTTTCATAAGATCTTTGTCAGATCTTTATGAGCTTCAGATCTTAACATGTTCATTTGAAAATGTTCTGATTTTCTCTACAAATCTTGGAATTTTGAATTCTGCAAATTGTCACAATTTCTTGGAGGTTTTATAAGAAAACTCTAGAAAACTTGGATATACTGAATCCTAGTCGTTAGGTACTTTATAAACTTCCTAGTTTTTTTGAGAGAAGTTTCATAAGAATTTTATCAAATCTTTAGGAACTTGTGATAAGTTGATTTGAAAATATTCTGCTTTTCTTTGATGATATTACTGAATTCCTGATTTCTGCAAACCTTAAAAATTTTTATGAAAAAAATGTAGAGAAACTCTTGAATCCTAGTCATTACCTACTTTGCATATATTTGTTAGAAATATGAGATTCTAAATCTTAAATGATCTACAGAAATCTTGAAGTTTGTGTCTTAAGAGTCTTTTAGTTGAGAATTCTGTTATGTGTGTTTTCTCAAGTTTATGAATCTGAGAGAAGTTTCATAAGATCTTTGGAATATAGGTATACCTTGTTGGTTTGAAAATTTGATGAGTGAAGATCTTAAAAATTCTTCAAACTTTAGATCTTGAATTCTGTTTCAAAGGTGAAATCCCAATTATTGAAATGTTACAAGAGATCAAATCTCAGAGCTCTAAAGTTTACTTACAACTCAAATTGTAGCTATAAATCATGTTTTTGATAAAAACCCCATGTAGTATTTGTGACATCATGTTGTATTTTGTAGACTTGAAGTAAAAAAACGGGGAAAATTTTTACTCGAGTACTGCCCATATAGTCCCAAGATCTAGTACGATCTAGCAAACAAAAACACCAACATTACGTCCCAATATATCACTTTTATGCTGTCTTACAAAACGACCAAAGTACTCGTTAACGCGCAATATTTTCGCCCGATAACGAGCTACAATAGGCAGATATTTCGCTGCTTTATTGCGTGGAACGTACCTATTTTATACAGGGTGGAACATTTCTGAAGAATTTCCTAATAAAATAAAACAACAAATCCGCTAATGCGTTCGTCCAAGTGTTACTAATAAATTCAAGTAAAAATGACGTCGTACACGGCACTGACCGGCGCATCGAATGCAAAATTAACCGGCTACGACCGAGAAGTGGAGGAATAAATCAAGTGCGACTGAATCCCGCTTTAGAAAAAGATCTGAAATGGCAAGAAAATATCAAAAAACGAACGGGAGCTGGGAAACAGCCATTAGCCATTCAAATTTATGCAGAGTTATTCGATTAAGTCGATCGGGTCAACAGCTTTGGAACACCTTTTTTCAAATTATTTTTTAGTTATTGGATTGAATTGATAAAGACGTCATTCAAATCAATTTATTTGGAGACGGTTTTCTTCCTTTTGACCGCTGAGATGAGGGGATGCAAAAGAAGTAACCGCTAATTATAAGGTAATCGGAAACGAAAAGTGCAAACGATCGCTGGAGTAATCGGATATAGCCGGGGATTCGCTCCGGTTATTCGAAAAATAGGAACGACCGACGAGATTTCTCACTTTATTCAGGCCTCTCTCTGGAACCTGTTTCCTTAATAATCTGACCGCATCGGTCATCCGAGCTGCCCCTGCCGCGTGCATTCATGCCGTAAAGAGTCATCAAACTTTACGCGCTCCTCTCGACACACTCACTTTTTCCGTTAATCAGATCCGAAGACGAATAATAAATAATCGGTTATAGTATATGACAATTTTTTCGATTTTGGAATCGGCCGGAGTAAATTTTCAGAAAACTGACAACGATATTGCTGAGATTGTATTGAAGTTTCCTTGTCTCTATGAGGCTTGAAATCAAGACAATTTAAAACATTTGACAACAGCGAATTCGAGACAAACTGAAGCGAATTATCTAGACAATTCTAGAAACATCGACGCGCTATAAAACGGACTCGACTACCCAGGAAATGAGTTAGTGAAGTGAAAAATAAGTCGATAGTAAAACAATGAGTTTAATCTTGAAGGATTGAATCAAAGACAGATTAAATTCAATAACAAGTGCCCTAATTCATTTTTTCTTTGTTTAATCCATTTTAATTATAATTTGTTTTAATAAAAACTCCATTACTCGAGCTTCTGCCATAACATATAGACGTTAATTAAAAGTCCACGCTTGATAAAGTTTTGAATATTTAAGTTTATAATTGAACGTAATTTGGTTGTGGAATTAGGTTGTATTTATTATACGGGTTTCTTCACTTTTTGTTGGTTTACGCTTATAGTTCTTATTATCTATGTTATACATTATTCATCCAGTTGCAGATTCAATGTTGTACGTTACATGGGTTGTTATTACAACACTCTTGTGGAATATTGTACAACTCAAGTATCGGGAATAAAGGCAAAATTGCTATGCAGCATTAGTTCTCTGCTTTTAAAGTTTTATATCTTAAAAACTGAAAATTATACCTCTAAAAACCCCTTCACCTTTACAAAGGAATTCGAAGCTGAAAACCTTTTCTACATAATGGTGCAATAGGATGCAAAGTGCCATTTTGTGCACGGAACTACAATTTCAAGCAATAATTCCCATTATAATTGTAGTAAGTATCACTTTCTGCACGGAATTGCGCAACTATTGCTCGACATGAGACAAGATAAAGTTACTTTTGAAGTTAGAAATGCGCCTCATTACAAATATATTGCACTTTATTTTTAAAGTATAGATTATGGTCGTTTATCCCGTTTGCCAAATTTTCAAAATTATCCGCTTTTTAGTTTTCTATAAACGTCTAATACCCATCCACCGTGAGACACCCTGTATAGTTGTGGGGGTAGGCGGATAACAACGGTTTCCCTAGAGTCCGGCTGTATATAATATTTATATTCTGTGTACTTTGTCTGCACGTAGAAATATTTACCTGAATCCCCTGTGAGACTCTTGCACGAGGTACGAGACGTCTTGCACGAGACTCGAGATGAAACCAATAAAAGTCTCGTGTCGTCTTGTTCAAGTATCGTCTCGAAAGCGAGACTCGTGGGCACCACTAGTTAGGATGATTGATGTTGATACACAATTCTGGAATCAAGTTCATTTCTCCCTATGATATTTCTTCTGTGAATAATCTTTTGCTACTAGTCTGGCTTTGAATTTATTTATAGAGCTATCTGGATTGTAATTGAACTTGTACCTACACCCATTTATTTGGTATAGCCTTTTTACCATTGAGTAGCTTTCCTAAAGTCTAAACACAATTCTCCTCTAAAGACTTGATTTCTCTTCCCATAGCCATTTTCCAGTCATTTGCTCTATTACTTAACATATAGCTTCTCGGTCCGTAATTGGCTCATTTATTTCCCTAATATCTGCAGCAACCATCATAGCGAAATCTTCAAACCTGTCAGGCTTTTGTATCTGATTTCTATCTTCCAGTTGTCTACTCGATACATTTGCGACTTCTTCTGAAATGTCATTATCTGGTAGTTCTACTAAGATGTCAGAACGAGTGTCAGAAAAACTGTGATTCCCGAAACTATCATCTTCTTCGCCGTCTTGTCCATTGTTTTCATTAGTTTCTTGTTCTGGAGTACCTTCCCTGTTTCTGACAATCTTACAATTGTTTTGCTGAGAAGCTCCAACAGGGTCTTCCAATAATGGCAACATTGAAGTTCTGAGTTTTCTTCACACCAAATCCGATATCCATCATCTTGGTCATATCCTATAAGTATGCCTTTCACTACCTTATTATCAATTTTCTTTCTTCCTAACTTTGGTACATGGTCATAACAGGACCAATAATGCTCATGTGTTTTGAAGAAGGCTTTTTCTCATACCACAGTTCAAATGAAGATTGTTCAAAATCTGTTAGAAAATCAATAAATTTTCAAACGAGCAAGGCATAATCTGAAAGTTCTAAAGATCTGACAAAAATCCTATAAAACTGTTTTAGAACCAGAAAGTTTGGACAGTAATAATTTAAGATTTGGGTAGAAACTTTTTAGAAGAGAGGATAACAAGATAATGATAGAAATTAGGATCTCAAGAGTTTTCTCAAAGAAAACCAGAAAAATCAAGGATTTACAAGTCTTATAATATAAGAATCTGAGAATCTTTACTATAGATCCTGAGAGACTTCTTATAGGAAGAACAGGATGTAGGTAATTACTGGACATTTTTTATCCCAGTATTTGGTTCACTTTCCTGGTAATATTTTTCTTCACTAGATTCTTCAGATCTTCAGATTTTAATTTTTCCTAATCTCAAGTCAATTTAAGATTCGAAAACCTCAATTTAAAATCTAGAAATCCTATAAGAATCTTGAGATTTTACGAATCTTCTCATAAAACCACCAAGACATAGTGAAGACTTGCAAAAGTTCAAGACCTGTACAAAAAATCAGAACATTTTCAAACGAACATATCAGAATTTGGAAAAGATCTAATGAAACTTCTTTTAGAATCAAAAGTCTCTTTCAAGGTCTCTAGAATTCAGAATCTTAAGATTCGAAGAGTCGAAAACCTCAATTTAGTATCCTGAGGTCCTAAGAATTAAGATTCTTCGAATTTTCTCATAAAACCACCAAGAAATTGTGACGGCTTGGAACATTCCAAGATTTGTAGAGAAATGATGAACATTTTCAAGCGAACATTATATATGTGAAGATTTGAAGGTCTGACAAAGATCTCATGAAACTTTTCTTAAAATCTGAATTTTTTTTTAAGGTCAATAGAATTCAGAATTTTAAGATTCGAAGAGTCGAAAATCTCACTTCAAAATCCAGAGGTCTTAAGAATCTTGAGATTCCACAGATCTTTTCGTAAAACCACCAAGAAATAGTGACGGCTTGCAAATTTTCAAAATTTGTTGAGAAAATCAGAACCTTTTTGAGCGAACATGTCAGGATCTGGAGGTCCTAAAGATCTTATGAAACTTCTCTTAGAACAAGAAAGTTTGGAAAGTTATAACTTAAGATTTAGAAACTTAAGAGAAGAGATTCAATAAGTTTGCAAGTTTAGGATAGAATTTAGGATCTCAAAGTGCCAAAGAATTGTCTCAAAAATCAGAACAATTCGGGATCTACGACTCCTAATGATATAATCTTTACTAAAAAGCATAAGAGTCTTCTTATAGGAAAAACAGGAAGTTAATTACCGAAAATTAAAGATCATGATATCATGTTAAAGACTAGAAGCTTATAAATCTTGCCAATTTTGGATTTTGAATGGAATAAGACAATGAAGGAACAAGGACATTTTCTATAAGTTAGGAAACAAGAAAAGATACCTTTTCAGGTCGAAATTATAATATGAACTCACCAAGTGAAAAGAAATAACATGGAAGTTGTTGGAAGAGGATGGAAAAGAAAAAAAGCTTTAAGACATATTCTATAGATTCGTTATGAGTGATTCACAGATATACATTTTTTTTTAATGAATCGAAGATTTTACATTTATCACATCTACATTAAATAAATCAGCAGGAAGAGATGGTGAGATTGATGCCGAGCGCATGTGTAGAAGAGAGAAAAAGAAATATCAATGTTGAGCCCCTTATAGACTTTGCTCTTATTCTGTAAAGAATATTTTTTTAATTTTTTTTTTATATTCCAAATTCCAAATAACTGCGTAGTTTCTCGGATGACTAAGCACTTGAGGAATGTATATTTTTTGTTTGTATTCTGCATCTCTCTTTCTTGGCCGCTACCCGTTCTCTCGTATTTGGGTGCTTTTCAAGAAAGGGCACTTCGAATTATTCTTTCGTTGCGTACAGTCGGTTAGCTGAATAATATTACGAATTTTCTTATCTAAGAAAAAATATAAAAACCCTTTGTTTTTTTTTAGTTTATAATAATTTTTCTATAGTCATTAAACGAAGATAAACATTTTTCTTGTTTTCTTGTATTAATGAACCAGCAATCTTAAATAGTTAATTTAAGATCCAACAATCGGGACAGTGGAAAAGCCCACCAGACCCCGAACATGGTCCTTCGAGCCGGATAGGTATAAGTATAAACAATTATAGTTATCCAAAGCAGTTTCTTTGGACATAATTGTTGAAGTGCGACGCAGTGCTGACAATAGCTCTGACAATAGTAACGATCACAACAGCAAACTGTAAGTACCAAACAGTATATTCCTTCTCTA